GCCCGGAGCCCCCCGGGAGCGCGGCTCCCCCCGCCGCGGCGGAAGGGCCGGGGCCGCGCGGGCGGCGGGTCCGGAGCGCCGAGCTCCCCCCGGCGGCCGCCCCGCTCCCCCCGCCGCCGCCGCCAGAGGGGTCCCGGCCTGGCGGGAGGCCCATGCCGGGCCGCTCCAAGGCCGTGGGGCCGGTGATCGGGGAGTGGAAGGCGGGGAGCCGGCACCGGGCCCGGCGGAGCGGCGGACGGAGACGCCGCGAAGCGCGGGGAACGGAGGTGGGCGCCGCACTCACCGGCCAGGCCTCTCCCGCTGCCTCCTGCGGCCCCAGAACCATAACAAAGCTCTGCCCAAAATGGCTGCCCGGCCCTGCCCGGCCGGGGGCCGGAGGGGGCGGGGCCTGCGAGAGAGGGGGGCGGGGCCGGGAGGCGGAAGGGCCACGCCCACTTGGCTCCGCCGGCGGCCACGCGGAGCGCACCCCCACCCCCGGCGCCCGCCGCCCAGAGCAGGGATAAGGGTGCGCGCGCGCCCCCCGCCCCGCCAATCGGCGCCGTCCTCGCGGTCTCTGGGGCGCCGCGGAGAACTACTACGAGTCCCAGAAAGCCCCGCGCCGCGGGGCAGCCTGGGAGTCTTATTCCGCTATGGCGTCTCGTGGCCGTCCGCGTGCGCAAGCTTGAGAAAATACCGGACCGAGCCCGGCCAGCTCAGGAGCCCGCGGCGCTTGGGCCGGGCGCGGCGGGGCTGTCAGGCGGCACGACGGCTGCGCGCCGCGTGGTGCCCTTCTGACACGTGCCGGGCCGCGTATTGGGTGCCGCGCACGGCTGCGTTCTTCCCTGTGCGGCGGAACCAGCGACGCCGTGCACGTTCCCGCCCGGACTGCCGAGGCGGAGCCCAGCTGGAGCGCTGCCCGGTACGCAGGAAGCGCCGCGTCCCGCACGGCTGGCCTTCCTCCTCGCCTGGCCTGCAACGTCGGTTCCCGGAACGACCCGCAGCAAAACATCCCGCGGTGGATAAATAATTACAGAGCGCGTCGAGGCTTTACCTCTCAGTACAGCACAGTGAGAAGCGCGCGTCTGAATGCTGAGCGCGGCCTGAGGCACGAGCTGAGCTACTCGCGGTTCGGCCAGCCACCCGCTTGGCTGCTGTTTCAGGACCCGGACAAAGCAAGCATGTTCCATCTCATACAGCGGTGCTGCTCCCGCACGCCTCTCCAAGTAAGTTCCTGCAGGCTTTAAGCTCCATTTTTCTTTAAACGTGCCATTGGAGCGTTGGGAAGCAGTGCCTCACAAGCGAAAGTACGCTTGCATTCATTGCAGCTATTCTGAGCACGTCCCTTATTTTTACAGCCGCCTTTGGCCAAAGCTCTGATTCCTTTTCTTTTAAATCACGTTCTGATGTTTACATTCTTTTTCTTTCCTATAATTACTGTCACGGATGCTGTTGAACAATGATGGGATAGTAGCTGCTTTCGGGGAGGGCACTGTCCAATGATCATGCTGTGTTCCTTTCTGGTCAGGCCTGATGCATGCTCCCTTAGCCTTTGGGTGGGTGGGAGAAGAGGTGGCTGCAGAAAGTGTTTTCAAAGTGAGCAACGTCTGCTTGCTCACTGGGAAGAGCTGAGCAGCTGTGCCAGCTTAATTGCTTAGATCAAAACATGAGAAAGCCTTGAGGAAGGGCAGCTGTCGGGTTATCCAGCCAAGAAAACTCTTCAGTTCAATATTTTATAGATACTCCAGGTAACTGTAGGACAATAATGCCTGTGTTGTAAGGTGCTCAAAAGAACAAACTTTTTAATTGCAGCTGCAGAAGCTAACTGGTCCCAGACTACTCCTGCATGGAAAGAATAAGACAAGGTGCTCCTCTCCCTGTCTCTCCCTGCAGAGAAATGTTTGTCTTCTCTCAAGACCTCTGAGCCTCAGCAGACTATCAGTGTGTGCAGTCAAACTCCAGGCTTTTCACACGTCTTTCCCACTCTTAAAGAAAAAGCCTCCCCAAGAACCTCCTCGAGAGCCAGGCCTGTTGCGACAGAGTATGAAATCACTGAAGGATTCTCCAAAGCCAGCCCTTTACTTAAGCCTTGCAGGGCTAATTCCACTTGTTTCTATGCCGCTATTAATGGTTTTCCAAAGGACCTACCACCCAGAGCTGGCATTTGTTCAGGTTACGTATGGTGCTGTCATCGTCTCTTTCATAGGGGGAATGAGGTGGGGATTTGCTGTCCCAGAAAACAGCCCAGCCAAGCCAGACTGGCTGAACCTGGCCAACAGCACCGTTCTTCCTCTGCTCGCCTGGCAAGCCTTGCTTTTTAAAGATATCGCTAGCAGTGCAGTAATGATTGTGCTGAGCTTAGGGATAGCATTACACTATGACCTTACCCTTCTTCCTACCTATCCTCTTTGGTTTAAAGGACTGAGGATAGTGGTAACAGTGGTGGCAGTATTATCACTGTTAGCTACTTTAGCTGTGAAGATGGTTTCTGATCATGAGCTAATTATCAGCAGACCTGAAAAGCAGAACACAAAACAATAAAGCAAGGGGAAAAAGCTGTTTATTTGTTAATAATGTATTTGCATTGAGGTCATATGGAAATAAAGACTTATTTGTGCTCAGAAGTCATAAGAGGGCATTGATCAAGACACTTATTCTTGGAGCAAGTAAGTTCAACTTTAGAAGGGAAGCACTCTAAATACTGATTGTGTCCAAGGCAGGCCAGAATCTGCCATTATCTGTAGAACAAAGCATTGTTCCTGAGTGAGATTAGATGAATTTAAAGCGGAGATTCACGTGTCATGGGTATGAATTGCTCTGTTCTGAATTATCGAAGTATCTGGTTTGACTATAATGTGATAACATTCTGTGGGAGGGAGAACAATGATGTAGTGGTGTGTGCTCTAAATGATGTCAAGGTGAAAGCAGTAAGTTTATCACTGAAAGAAATAGAGAATTGTGCAAAAGTACGTACACCTTCAGTTCCTGTTTTGTGGAAGTGTGAAAAAAACCACCAAGAACTCAACCTTATTTCAAATTGAGGAGATGTCCAGAGCTTAATCACATAGAACTTAAAGTGGAAAGAAAGGGTAGGTGAGGTTTGTTTGCAGTGGCAAGCTGAGGTCAGAGTTCACCTGAAGTATACCATTAAGCTGCCATGGGGAAGGCTGGAAGGGGCAACTTTTTATCTTCAATGAAGTGCTACAAAAACAGATTAGCTTACTATTTAGACTTAAATAAAAAGGAGAGCCAGCCCATCTGCTCCTGGATTTTGCTTGGTCTTAGGGCTACTTAAGCAGTGAAGCTGCTTGCAACACATGATCGTGAAGTACCATCGATTGCTGCTTGGTAGGACACAGATCTACTGCTAACATGAAAGGATCAGGCAGTAGAATTGAAAGAAGTTTTGTGTCTTCTCCCTCCTCAAGAGTAGTTTTATTTGTGCACCATGGGAAGGTACAAACACAGTTGTGGCCTGCACGCTCTCCCTGAGTAGCTGGTTATTGACACGACTTTGCATGTAAGTCTACTTCCTAACGAAATCTCAAGGAAGAAACAAGTGCCCATCACACAGATTTTCTTTTCTATCCTCAGCTACCCCAGGAAGCTTAATACGTTGCATATGAGCATATTTACTATAGGCTTTTTATCTTAAGATGCAAGAAGAAAGGCAATGTTTGATATCCATGTACCCTCAGGACTAATTTATATGATCCTCATAGTACACATAAAGCACTGTTGGTTGTGAAGAACAAAGCACCCACCATAACTTCAGTTTTATCTGCTCGTTCTGCAAAGAACAATTTAGGAAACCTGCCTAAAGATGATGCCATCTTCTTCTATGGTGTTGCTGAAACAGCAGCTATGTCCATGAATCTCTCCTCTTACCCCACTACCTTTTATGTGTTCACAGCACCATATCCCCAAATCAGCAGTATACTTGATGCTCTCCGAATATAAAATAAATAAAAACTTTATTTGTAAACACAGTGTTATTCTTTTTTAAATATGACAGTTTTTTTAAGTGGATCCAGATTTTGTTCTAAGTCAGGGAAAGATTGCTGAGTAGCTGGGAGCAGCTGATTACAGCCTCCAAGCTCAAACATCAAAATCAACCACAGGAACTGGAGAAGGCAGCTTCAGACCAACAGCAGATGCCCTCAAGATAATCTGAACCAGAAAGTTTATGGGAAGGAGAAGTGAGCGCATAGAATTCCCAAATGAATAAAATATAGTGAAGACGGTGTTTCTCATGTGTCTCAAGAAGGTTCCTCAACAAATAACAAAACTTAAGAAATATTGCCTATAATTTCATTTCAGAGAGGGCTGCATGGAGCTGATAAGGCAGCCACACTTGCAGTGACTTTATACTGAAGAGAAATTAATGAGAATTTTACTACAGAAGTGTGGTATTTGCAGCTTGAAGCAGGCAAAATGTATAATCACTCTCTCCCAGCGTCCTACCAGGAACAGGACTTCAGTTAAAGAACAGGACAACTCACTAGATGAAAACAGCAACAATACAAGACATTATGGTAGGAAAACACCCTATTCAAGAGTATTCCATATTCAGTTATGAAAGTGTATTTTATTAGAAAAACTGCTTAAAACAAGTTCAAACTTGAAAAAAAGACAAATAGACATAATTAAGAAATAATTTTGAAGTAAAACATATACAACGATTGAGTGATCAGAGAAAACAAATGCTCAACCATCTAGCACATTTTAACCTGGCAATCTCTCAGTCCTGTGTTAGAATGCAAAACCTGGATTCCTAATGTACCTGCAACACTGACTCTGGGGGCTTTTACTCATCTGTTAATTTGTTAGCTGCATGAAAGAGATGTGGACTTGGTACGAGTGCCCCCTTGTCTCATAATGCAGGCTTCCTGTTCTCTGCCACTCCAGTTGTGATTTTATGGTCTAGGGTAACACTGTATCTCATGTTCAAGCAGCTTTATTTCAGACTCCTATCCGAGTCATCCACAGCTGTGCAGACAATGCAATTGCAGTGTGCAAAAAGCAACTTCAAGTACAACACTCATTTGATGAAGCTAGAAATAACTCCAAACTCCTGGCGAGTATTCTAGGAGTGTATCCAAGCTAAATATGAATTCCTTAAGGAAAGACACACTAACAGCATCACCTCAATGCTGAACACAGCTATTTCCACTACAAAAGGCTCTGTCCACACTAATTTGGAAGAGGCAAGGTATAAAATGCAGCAAGGATGAACGTGTGAACCTTGTATAAGAGCATGTATTCAGATGCCAAATCACAGCACGTGCCACACAGCATAAAACACAGCTAAAAAAGAAAAAAAAAAAATGGGCAAAAGGTTTTCCTTAGGTTTTTAGTCTAAGAGCTGTCCTCACTGCAAAAACAACTCATCTAACTAATGCCGCTTCCATTTACAATAATCAGTTTATACAGAAAAGGAGCTCTATTGCCATCGCTGACTCCACTGAGTAAAAAAAGCCTGTGCTGAAGTGGAATGACATTATTAGAACTGCAAGAATAGCTTTCCATAATAGGAAGTCCTCAGCCACTTACCATCAAAGTTGGGGGGGTGGCAGGAAAGTAAACATCTAATTAATATTTAGTGCCCATGCCCTGCAGCTGCAGAGAGGCTCAAATGCATCTAGGTCCTAAGTGGAGGTACCAAGTCTCTCCCATCTCTTCTTTTTCTTGTTTTCTATCAGCAAAGGACAACTAATGCCAGTCAAGTAGCCAGCCTGCTTTTATCGGCAGGGAACTCCTAGCCATCCATAGCAACCTTCTTCCAGACTGTAAGGCCAGCTGAAGATACTGACTGACACATCTGAGATCTAACATCTCTAGTGTGCTGGAATGATTTCTTCAGATCAGTACAGGGCAAGTTTGGCATTTAATAAATCTTAATCCAGTCATAAGAGGCATTCCTACTCTGGGATAAGCCCATTTACTTTGAAGGGCAAGAGTTTTAATATTTCCTTTTGCTTCGGAAAAGCCCTCTGATCTAAGCCCCCTGTTTCTACTGAAGGTTCTGCTGATAGAAGAGGTTTCTGGCCAATGAAACCGGAAACCAGAGGAGGCAGATACTCACTCATTCCTTGGATGAGTTTTCTTCCTTGCACTTTACAGCACAGCTACACCTCCTTCACAGCGGCTGGTGATCATGTTGGCAGTTTCAGTCCAACTGTCCATGTGAGGGTTATAAACTTCAACAGAGTCAGAGGTTACTGGAGCAGCAAAGTCATGACTGGGAGCACGGCCTCCCGAGGCATAAAGAAATCCATTCACAGTCACAACACAGACACCAGCTCTTGGCATCTTCATTGGTGCAACTTCGACCCACTTTTCCTAATGAGAACATGAAGAAAAAAAAAAAAAAAAAAAAATCAACAAGCAGTTTTAGGGTATGGCCCAATTCTGATAAAAGCAGCTTTTTAGCCTTAAAGACTGAAACATGTTAACTATGCAAACATCACAATTCAAACACTATGCTATGTGCATAGTAGCAAGTGTGTTATTGATACTGTAATGCCAGCACTTTCACAAGAGGTCCATGTGGTAGCAGTCTCTAAAGAACAGATCACACCCTGTCTACACAACACCCCTTCCCTTCTTCAGTCACCGTGTGATGCAGCCCGTCTCCAGATCAGAGAACCACACGCGCTTTGAGATGGGAAACAAGGAGAACAGTACAGAACAGAATGCCACCATGGAATACATGCTGCTTTCAGCAACTTTCTGTTGCAAAGAGCATCATATAAACATGAGCAGTAATAGCCAGGACTAATACTGTATTCAAAGCAATCTTTCTAGTTGCATTGAAACAACCACCACATTTTTATGCAGAAGAAAGATTCTCAAGTCACGCAGCAAAGGGCAACTCTTACTTGTTCTCTCTGGAGAGTGTAATTCATTCTATCGCAGGAGGAGAAGGGGAAATTTATTCCACTACCTCTACTTTGACAAGTATTTACCTAAGTATGAAGTATCTGAGCTTGGTTAGCTTCCAGTTTCCCAAAAGCACGCATACAGTTTTCATAAACATACGGGTTAGATCAGCAGAATGCTACAAGCTGGTTAGGACACACAGACTCAGAGGTCACCGGAACTCCTTCCACCCCCAACTTGGATTACCAGCCAGTAGGAAAAGCAGAGCTGGAAATTATTCGTTTTTTCTTTTTAAAGGAAGGAAGCAGGCTACTTCCACAGCATTTTATACAAAGTCCACGCAGTCTACGTTTCTGAAAGGAAGGGACTCCACCATACCTCTTCAAAGGAGTATCTTTCTACAGTAGCAAGCGCATCTTGAGATTCATTCCAGCCTCCAACAGCATAGATACAATCATTGAGAGCAGCTACACCGAGATACGCTCTTCGGGTGCCCATGGGAGGAAGCTCAGACCAACGTTTAGATAGCGGGTCGTAGACTTCAACAGAACGCAGCTCTACTCCCTCATGGCTGATACCACCAACAACATAAATTAGACCTGTAGAAATATAGTTTTTCCTATGTGAGGTTTCACAATACAAAGTCTTGAAAGACAGAAAATGCTTCTCATGGCATCCATTTCAGCTTGCCATTAAGATGATTCAAGAATCCCAAATAGAATCCTTTATTTGTCCAGAATTAGCATACAAAGTTTTCAGGTAAGTAACCCTGTGCTCAAGCACTAGAAGCTCTGATGAAAGCAACCGTCAATCAAGTGAAGGGTGGAGAATTCAGAAGGCTGGAGCCTCTGTCAATACTTGGATCAGATGCATAAAAAGCACACATACAGCTTAAACCTTCAGACACAACCGTCCCGAAATAATCTGAAGAATTGCCACAGGTTGTCAAAAAGCCATGCACATGAACCCAAAAGCTGGAGATACATAAAAGCAATAGCAGGAAGGATAATCAACTTAATAGATTAGCTGGATAATCATACCAACAGCCATATATAAACTACTTTCATGACATAAAAGGCAGCAGACAGAGAAAGACCTCTATAGTATAATTTCTGTAGAAACACGTGTTAGGAGGACAAAAAAGCAAGGCACAATCTTCTGCAACTGACAGGACAAGACAAAAGTAAGAACTCGTGACTGAAACATAACTGTTTCTGAAGAGTTCCAAGAGCCCAAGAGGGTTTTGGAAGCAAGCTTAACAATCCTCACCTTGTATTTCACAACATCCAAAGTAATAACGGGGCACAACCATGCTTCCCACCACATCCCAACTATTTTCTTCAGGATCAAATCTTTCAATTGTGTTGCCGATCTCTGCCCCAACCCAACCTCCTGCAAATGCCAACAAACACAGGAAAGCATTTAATGGTATGAAGCAGTGCCTAAATTGCAGGTAACACTGTGTGTCCTGCAACAGAACAACATCAATTCTGCTAGGGAAATAAGTTAGAGCTGAACAATAACTAATCCACAGAGACCTGGTGTACTAATGCTCATTTGAACAGGTCTTTTTCAAAGCTGCAGATAGGTAACATTAAGCCATAATATTAAAAACCAAAACAACTTCCCATGAATTAACACCTCTAAGATTAACCTCACCTAGTGGAAAAAAGAATTACCTAAAGCATAGATAGCACCACGGCACGTGCACACTCCCAGTCCACAGCGAGGATGGTTCATGGAAGCCACAATCGTCCACTGCTTACTGACAGGATCGTAACATTCAGTACAGTCAAAAATCATTGAGTCCTTCTCACCTGCGTAATAAGAGAAAGCACACAGACACGGGAACTACAGATCTGCACTGCAGATGCAAATTTTTCAACTCTTCCTAGGACAAAAGAGTGTAAGAATACAAGATTTTCCTTTCAGCTAGCCAAACAGCCAGAACAGCAAAAGCTTCATTGATACCCAGAACTGAATCATCACTTGAAACAGCATTCATCAACAGTTCCCTGAAACATTACTGAAAACATCAGGAATGAACAACCAGTGCTATACACATTTTATTTTGCAGCACAACACAATTTTCAAGGCTAAAGAATGCATTCTGTGGTGACAAAGCCAGTATGCATATGCATTCCTTAAGGATTGGCAGGTAGAGGTACTCATCACATCCTTGTGCAAACATACCTAACAAGCCCTTCCAGATAGGCAGACAAGCAGATGTCTTGCCTCTCATTCTGTGCGCTTCTACAAGATTAGAAGTGAGAGAAGAGATGCAATTACCCATAGCACACAAGACTGCAGAGTACCTAACACCTCTCAGTGTATCTGAACACTGATATATGCTTACCTCAGAGTTGCTATACCACAAGAGGAAAGAATGGCCACTAAGAAATGGCCAACATTGGAACCCTAACCAGTACACTCACAGCAGCAACAATAGAGAAGCAAGATACCCTAAATTCAGCTATTACTGAAGCTACAATTTATATTACCTACTGCTGGCTTCCTCAGTACTATTTCGAGGAAAAATAGTTTTTAAAAACTCTACCCATGATTTCTCCAGTATCTTTTTAACAGAAGACTTTACATCCCTGAAGGACTTAAATTCAGTCAGGAAAACTGGAAGTACTGGACTTTAGACTGTGCAGTGTTAGGCCTATGCAATACTGCAGGCTTACTTTTGAAGAAAACGTCCATCTCCAAGAGTAAACATGTCCACAAACAAAACACAAAGCACCGATCCCTATCAGGTTAGTAAGTCAGTGCAGGACACAGCACCAATAATGTACTGGCTACTTAACCACTCATTTGTGAGGAAATGAACCTCTGCATCTATCAATTCTAGCCTAAGAATGATCAAAATATAACAAAAATGATATTCTTACATTGCGGTTAAGGAACAGGAGTTTACTGTACCACTACAGGGCACATACTCCTAAAATAAACACAATCTATTCAGCTTTCTGAAATCATAGCAAGACGACAATGTCTCTCTCTGATGCATATCAGCTCTTCAGTTAATTTCATTGGGTATTCTCTTTCAAAAGAACATGCATACTTCATATAACAGACACTTATTTAACATTGATATTACCATTAGCATTAGGAATGCGCCCAAAGTGCGTGCTTGTTTCAGGTTTTACCTCCAATGGCATAGACCATTCCTCCAACAACAGCCACACCCAGCCCGCTACGGGCCTGGCGGAGGGAAGACACCGTAGTCCAGTAGTGGCTGAAAGTGTCGAACCGCTCCACACAGCTGAGGGCTCTGCTGTCACTCCAACGTCCTCCTTGCAGTCGGGTGTACCCTCCTAGAAAGCAAATGGAAAGGTCACAGCTGAGTAAGAGCTTCCTGCTCAACCCCATGATCTTAACATGTAAAACGCAGAAGAAAAGCCAACAGAAAATCCATAGCAGCAGCACTCTACTGTTAGTAGGAATCAGGCTTTTCCAAACTGCATTAGTTCTCCATCACATACAGAAGAAAGGTCACCTTGAAGGTCAGGTAACTTGTGCTACTGCACTTCATTGTATCACTACAGACATTCATAATCTTGGTAAAAGGCAGAGACCAGCTTTTGCTATCTTATAATTGTTACTTCTCACAGGGTGGAGGAAAAAAAAAAAAGTATTTATTTTCAATACAGTGCTGTAGCTCTGGTGAAAACTTGAGATCGCAAGTATCCCATCAAATAAATATTCTGTACTGAGAAAACATCAGCTTTCAGAAAAAAAAAAAAAGTGCAGGGAATCTGTATATGCCAGTATGCATTTCCTCTAGTGAACCATGCTGATTTGCAGCTTTCCACCCAAGGCAAATAACTTTTAAAAGGCAGATCTAGGCTTTGAATGCCACATCATAATGATGCAAAATATGAATGCTCCCCCACTGTGCAATTTTAAGTAGAAAGCAGCCAAGATTGCAAATCAGCCAGATGAAGCATACTGCTCTTTTTGTGTCTTCCCATTGAATAAAAAGTAGTCCAGCATTTCTGTCAGTACTGTAATAGAAGATACCACTTCATCATTTGTTTTATAAGTTTCAAACAGCCACATTCTAACCTACTGCATAAAGGTACTTCCTGGCTTTCCTCCGTGGACGACCTTTAGAAGCTTGCAGAAAACTGCTGACCTTGTTTTCTTTAGGAGATTTACAGACTTCACAGTATTCTTTCAGCAGAGTTTGCAGAGCCACCCGAAGGCTGAAATCTGGAACACCTTGACGAAAGAAACAGATTAGAAAAGACTTGGTTAAGACGGCTTGCCTGAAAACAAACATCTGATACTCCTGGCTTTTTTGCGCTCACCTTCTATGTACTTTAAGAGCCTTTGTGCCGGCAACAGAGGGAATCGCACAGGCTCCAGCACTTCCACCACGTGCTTCCTTCTTTTTCCCAGATCCTTCAAAATCCATTGCATAGCAGCCAGGAACACCTGGTACTCGTCCTCAATGCTCAGGTCCTCGCTCCGCAAGATCTTCACCAGCTGCTCCTTGCTCAGCGCCAGGAACTCCTCCCCAGCCTGCACCTCCAGGAAGTGCGCGTGGATGTAGCCCTCTGTGAACTCCAGCAGGTCGTGGCAGGCGATCTGCTCGGAGAACTGGAAGAAGCCGATGCAGTTCAGTGGGTCGATCTGGCCCTTCAGGAACTCGCAGCACAGCTCCACCACCTCGCTGAGCTGCAACATGTCCGCGGCGACGATCAGCTCCTGCACGTTGTGCTCGCCGATGCTCACCACGCCTGCGGGCGGGCACAGGACGGCGGAGCTCCGCTGTAAGCCGTGCGCGAGCAACGGAGCGCTGCCAGAGCCCGTCACCCCACAGCCGGACCCCTCACAGAGACCGCCCGCCCCTCTCACAGACGGGACCCACCGCCCTCCCCCCTCACGGACGGGACCTCCAGCCCCACCGTTACCCGTGTAGATGAAGTCCAGTAGCGTGTGGAAGATGCCCGCCTCGACGCCCGCGATCCGCACCACGTCCCGCCCCGATTCCTTCATGCCGCCCGCGAAGAGCGCCGCGAAGTACGGGCTGCTGGCCGCCAGCACCAGGCGGTGCACGGAGAACGTCTCGCAGCCCACCTCCAGCCGCACGTCGCAGAAGCTCTGCCCGACGCGCAGCCGGTTGATCTGAGCCAGCAGGAGGCGAGCGTGCCGGTCCGAAAATGAGCTCCCGCCGGCAATGCCCGCCGCGACACACGCCATGACGCTCACTGAGGCGCGACCGCCCCTCCCGCCCTCTGACCGCTCTGAGGGGCAGAGCTCGCGCACGCGCAGCTCCCCCCACCCGCGCCTGCAACGGGAGGTGCTCGCGCCTTTCCGCAGCGCATGCGCGATGCGGGTGGTGGGAGTGCGTGTCTTCGTCTGTGAGGCGTGCGGTGAGGAGGGCGCGTGGCGGCGGCGGCGGCGGCCTCAAGCGGCTTCGCAGCGCGCCTGTCTTCGCAGTGCTTGATCCTTTGTCCGTGTGCCTGCCTGGTCGCTTGCCCCTGTGGAGCCTGTTTGCTCGCAGCTCTGGCCAGCGTTCCCATGGACCCTTCTCTGTAAGGTGCTTTTTTAATGTGGATTTCAATCATTCTCCTGATAGATGACATTACTGCCTGCGGTGCTGAGGGCGATCAGCAGGTGGAACAGGCTTCCTATGGCACAGAGCCCGTTGGAGATGTGGAAGCATTTAGAAAAGGCTCTCAGAAATATGGTTTGGTTTTTGGGTGGGCCTGTATGCAGCCAGGAGTTGGACTCTGTGATACCTGCGAGTCCCTTTCAATAATGGGTGCAGTGTGATTGTGTGGTGACAGTGGCCTTCTGCACTGCCTTACAGACTCAGTCATACTCCTCTCAGGCTTACCTCTGCAAGCTGTGATCCAAGACACTGTAATGTGTTTGTGAGGGGGAAACTGACTGCCCCTCCTGGTAGGATAGGCATGGAAGCCCTGGAGTGTGTCCAGAGAAGGGCAATGGAGCTATGAGGAGTCTGGATCACAGGTGTTATGGGGAGCAGCTGAAGGAGCTGGTATTGTTCAGTTTGAAACAAAAGGAGGTTCAGGGAGGACCTCATTGCTCTCTACAACTCTCTGAAAGGGGGTTATGGTGAGGTGAGGGTCGGCCTCTTCTCCTTGTAGCTGTGATAATGAGAAGTGATGTCCTTAAGTTGCACCAGAGGAGGTTTAGGTTGGATATTAGGAACAGTTTCTCCTTCCAACGAGCAGTGATGCACAGGCTGCCAGGGGAGGTGATGGTGTCACCATCCCTGGAGGTGTTCAAGAACTGCAGAGATGTGGCACTGAGGGACGTGGTCAGTGGGCATGGTGGAGTGGAGTTGAACCAGATGTTTTGGTGATCTTTTCCAGCCCTAATGATTCTGTGATTATATTACGTTCTTTTCTGAGGAGAAACGACAGTTAACCTCTGCCTGAGGCAGTCCTAGAGAATGGGATGATGGGGACTGTGTATCCTCGGTGTGGCATCGTGGTCAGCACTGCCTGAAGGATGGCCAGCCCACGCACCTCAGCATGGCATCATGCTGCATTTGGGTCTTCCTCTTCATTCCAGTATGGATGCTTCACCACAGTGCCTAGTAGTACTTTGAGGGTGCCTGGGGTCAGAGCTGGTCCTGAGGCAGGGCAGTCTTTGTGTGATTCACTGAGTCACTGCATGTCTGGGCACTGACAAAGGGAAGAGCTTCGCATACTGAGTTACACCTCTCATTCCTTGGGTCTGAAAAAGCCAACAGTGATACAAAAGCATCCCTGCTGAATTTTCCATGACAATTTCACCATGACATGCAGCCAAATTAAAAAAAAAAAAAATAATAAAAAAAAAAATAATAAAAAAAATCAGCCTCTTGGACCACTTCCATATCTATTTACTGTGAGTATGGGAAAAGAGAAACATGTCTGCTTACAGTTACAATGGTCATGGCCCCTCAGGCTTTTCTTATGATTCAGTATTTCATTGTAATAACTTTTAAATGTGCTTCCAGAAAAGAAATCTGAATTGTGATACTCTCTGGGGACTGTTGCTTTCTCCATTCATCAGCATTTTGTTCTTGACATTAGAATGGTAAAACGATCTTCTGAGCCGGTCTCAAAAAAAACATCCATAGAAAATACGTACTGAAATAGAAAAGTAAAGTTCCTGCAGTTGCATGCGTTGGGTGCATGCTGATATGGCTCCATATATGTTTTAGGCCAGGCTGATAAATTCTTTGAGAATTTTCTTTCATTGATGAATCAGGAAAAGAATCCAGAGCTGTCTTTGTGCTGACATTTTATTCATTGGAAGTGGCCTGTGAGTAAAAGGCTTAGAATTCCTCTCAGTGCTCAGGCGCAGGCTGATGTCAGCTGGTAGACGCTTGGCCAGCATTAGGATTTCACACCATACTGCCAAATTTACAGGCACAGAATAGCATTGTTGAGACTGCTAATTTTGCCCTGAAGGCCTGTCCCGCACTGTGTTAATGTGGCTGACTAGTTGTGTGTACAGAAGAGGGCACTGCTTCAGCATGTTTCTTTTATAACCACGCGGAGGCCATACAAGATGGAGTTAATGCTCCCATATGCTGTTGTGCATCTCCTAAAGGAGACTAGGGTTTTTTTTGTAATAAGCCTGTAAGTACATTTGACAGTGAAATTGTACTGTGTAGCAAGAAGCCTTTTGATTAATACCAAGAATGACAACACATCACAGTGAAGGAATTAAAGATGATTTCAGTTTTAATTTAATAGGTTCCTAACGTGGTGTTTGCCGGAAGCCAGCTGAGTACTTACTGACCCATAGGACAGGTGTCAAAAAAGGCATGGCAGGTATTCCTCCGTGTGCCCCACTGGCCACACCTGCACAGAAGTGCTGCTATTGCAATACCAAGACCTCTCAGTGAGAGCAATCTGACAAATAACATTTTTAGGCTTTCTCCTGAAAAAGCCCTGTGCTGTGCCAGGGGGCCGAAGAACTGCAGTCTTCCTTGGGATATTTCATGGAGTTCCCTGCCTGCTCAGATTTCTCTGGTTGAGGGCTTCTCTGGAAAACCTGTCCAGACACCCGGGCGATGCTCTGCTGGGTGAGGTGTCTGCTTCCACTCTCAAATCCTGCAGGTGGTGCTGTCTGTACAGGATGATATTTTCTGAACATGCAGCAAGAATGGGTGGCTAATATGTGTTACTTGTCTGGGTATTGTAGTTCTTTATTTTGGGAAGGTCTTAGATTTTTTTTTTCCTGAGCTCCGTAAAATGAAGGGCTTTTAGTCTCAAAAAAACCTACAAGAACAATAATTGATTTGAAAGTGCAGTTGTGCTGTACTGTCTCCTGTACCTGTAGCTTTGGGGATCATTTTGACATAATAATCAAAGAATAATCCCAAAGTGTTTCTTATGATACTTCATTGCTAAAGTTCTCTGTTGCAGAGGAGATGTGAAACTCAGACCTTGGCTGTCTGTAGGTATGACAAACCCTGTGGAATGTTTTGTGATAGAGAATCACTTTTCAGTTGCTGTTTTTCAGCTCTTCTCTCATTACCTGCTTGTAGCTACCATTTGTGTTTCAGTACACGTGACCTACCAGATGAGTGTTGAATGGCCTCACCAAAAAGGAAAGGAGCTTCTATCATGCTTTGGCATCCAGCTCATAAAGCTCCCATAGGATGCAACCATTCTTACTCAATTTCCCTACATTTTGTAAGAACTTGAGGTAAAACTTCTAGGGAAGCTGAAACTGGAGAAGTGCAGAACCACTTTATGAGAGGTGATGCGGATTAGAAATACCTGTAGTGCACTGAACTATGCTCTTTACTCTTCCAAGCTACCCTTCTTTTTGCTAAGGCCTACACGTGCCCACGTGTCATGTGAGTACCATTGCATGCATAAAGCAGTGGTGCAGATCATCAGTCTCAGCCGTGCATGTTTTCTTAGTGAAGTGGTGGAGCTGTGTGATGAGTCCCTATGGAGCTGGTAATCATGTTGTCTGCTCTCAGTCAAAAGCCTCTAATGAGCTGGGGGCACTAGATTCTAATTAGATACCCACACAAACTTCCTGTTGGCTCAGGTGTACTGAAGCCTTAGTGGCTGAAGAAGCTTTCCTTCAGGGTCTGGATGTTTCCCATCTTAGTAGGGAAATTCATTGTGCTTTACAGTGAGATAACAAGTTTTCCAGACTTAGGCCAGATACAAGAAGGCTCTCTTGGCAGGATTGGGCCAGACCCATGAGCAAGATGAGCTTTATTCCTGCAAGAAATAACGCATCTTAACAATTATGCATGTGTGTGTAGGGTAAAGATCTGAACTGGAGTTGGTCAAAGATGGAGGACAAGAGGGGTCTTCAAAGCTAGCTTTTCTGCATAGGCAGCCTCAGCACATATGGTTTGCATGAAAACTTGAGATTTTCTTCCCCTGCCCTGTCTTCTTGCCCTCAGCTTTTCTCAACATTTTTGACTACTTTGGAATTAATTGATAAAGTGATTAAGTACTTTCATTGCTCTCACTGTAATATGGCTTCAGGTAAGGATAACATTCAGGTAACTGCCTGATAAGAGAGTTGTCAGTTTAAACAGGTTTAGCATTCTTAAACTTGTTACTGAGAAACTCTCCTGAGCATCCACTTAGCACTGAGAAGCAGGCTGTGCTGGAGTCCAGCTGAAGGGCACCATGTCCTGCAATGGCACCCAGACCCAGAGAGCCACCTGGCAGGCAGCACAGCTGGGGAGAGTCTGAGCTGTGAGAGCCTCCAGACAGAACGTGATGTTCACAGCTAATGGTGTGTGATTTCAGGAGCACTGGTAGCGTTTCAGCACTTGCTGTAAGCTGCACTTTTACAGCTGGTCTTGGTTAGAGAGCTGGTGGGTGTACGGTACAAAACAGTCAGGAAAAGAAAAATCTTTCAGGTGTGTTCCAGCAATTCATGTGTTGTCTTCTGACTTTCTTGTGTGGAGAGGTTTATGTTCAGGGTACGCTTACCTAGCAGGAAGTTTGTTGAAATTCCAGTGAAATAGGAACGTTGTGCAACATGTGGCTGCAGTTCCCCACTGGTTGGAAGATTCTTGTTTAAGCCGAAGGTCTGGAGCAATTCCAAGCAACTTGATTTAAAGTAAACATCCTGGATGCAGTGTGTCAAATACTAACACAATATTGTTTTAGTTTTTCTCATTTCTCTTGTGGGAATAATCATTCCATGAAGAAGGAAAGTGATCTAATGAGAGAATTAACTCAAGAGCTTGAATATGGAATTAATCACAGCTGTCTGAGAGGGGAACCAAGGCAAACTCCACAGAGAGCTCACTGCATTTCCGAGGGGGGAGCTCAAAAGAATGCTAAGAGTCAGATAGCAGTTGGTGATCGAAACAGAGATGCTTTTAGTAGCTAAAGGAAGCAAAAATGTGCAGCAGGATGAGTTTCCTGCTTTCATTTCTGTGAGATGTTACATCTCAGTAGGAAGGGATCGCTGCAACCTTTTCTTGGGGGTGTGAGAAAGTGACAGATGGTTTGGGTCTGATCCTCATTGCGTCTTCATGCTTAGCTGAAGCAGGTGATTGATTTCCTCAGCTGGCTCTTTTATTCACTGTTTGTTGGGAGTGGTCCTGCAGCTTCAACTGACCTGCTCCCTACGTAGTGTTACATCAATACTGGGATCATTGTCTTTCTCTCAGAAAGTATTGCACTTGTGTTTACAGAACGTGTGAGCTGATTTTACTGAGAAGATGGATGGAGTTTAATCTCAGTATGCGGGGATCTCTGCCTGATACCCACCACATTCCACAGCCTGTGCGTGTAGTGGGGTCATTCCACAAGCACAGCCTCTGTGGAATGTGAGGTCTGTCATGAAGGCCGTGAGTAATTGCTGGTGGGATGTCTGTGAGCTCTGTGTCTGCGTGCTCTGTGAGTCAGGGCATCCAGGGTTCTGTATATACTGAAGTCTGAAAGGATTAAAACTTCCACAGTATGATGTTTTGACTGTAAATGGCATCGGCAACTGATACCCATCCCAGCTCTGTGGCTGCTCTGCTGTTCCTTTGCTGTGTATCTCCCTGCTTTTTTTTTCCCCCCTTGATTTACCTTTCTGCAGTGCAAGCATTTTTCATTTCCCTTTGTAGAGCTTCACCTTTGGGGGCTGAGATGATGCCTGCTTAATTGACTACAATAGGAGCAAACCCTTTGGGATTCCTAACAAAAGACCTGTCTGAATTTAATGACAACATAAACATAGTGGTGGTGTAATTCGTTTGTAAGCAGTTCTGAACCTCTGTTGCAGTGTTTTTGTTTGCACTTCAGTTTTCTCTGTTTCCTTATCACAATGTCACATCAAATGTTACCAAAATCCTTCAGAGGCCCTCATCTACAGCTTTCTTTTTTTTCCAGCAGGCTGGTTGTATCTCAGTTAGGAAAATCAGCCCACTGTGATGTTGTTTGTTTGAAATAAGCTAACAGTGATAACATTTATCATTTTGTTATTCAAGGTGATGGAAATGCATTGTTTAATGACTTCTTATACTGTGTTTTATTGTCTGAGCTTTTTTTTTTTTCCTCGATGTTCAGGTTTCTGCAAGTTTTAACATTTGTCCAAGGTTTACCTTGCAAAGCACAACTTCACTTCCAGGGTGAAATGAGTCTCTGAAAGAGGACTTGTTTGTGCTAGTCCTCCTTCTGCAACACTTGCAGCAATCAGATAAGTTCCTTACTGACTCCATCCCACTGACTCAGTTTGCTCACTCTTCCTCTCGGGTGTATTTTGAAGATTAATTAATACTTATAAAATACTTTTAGTAAAACCTGCCTGTGAAAAATGCAGCACTAGTTGAAAATGCTGCCATTATTGGTATTTATTATTTTGCAAAAGGGAAGCTATTTTGCAATCAATATCAGTGTGGAATTAGGAACTATAAAAATAGATTAGGGCTCTAGAGATACTGGAGAAAATTATGGCTGGCACAACTAAACTGAAGGTGAGAACTGTTGAGTAACCTGGTGAAGAAAGCCTTCCAGTGGCACAAGGCACAGGAAGCAAGTTTTGGTAATAACACTTGGTAGTGAAATATACGTAGAATTAAGTATTTGTATTGCAGAAGGATGATGAAGTCCTTTTCAGTCTGTGAGTGTTAAAACTGAGGTTTATCATCATAAGTGACATCAATAATTCCCAAGCAGCAGGCTCAGCTCACCTATCCTGACCAGCTCTAGGGAACTGCCGAGAGAGATCTGGTTGGGAATGGCTCCTGGCAGTGCACAGATCTGGTTGGGAATGGCTCCTGGCAGTGCACAGATCTGGTTGGGAATGGCTCCTGGCAGTGCA